CCAAGGGAGCAGTGAGCAGCTGCAGCTCGACCCGGGTTCACCCCCTGGTCCTGTCTCCAAGGCCCCCTTTTTCTCTGATTCCCAGTGACAAGGGTAAAAATCTGATGGAAACTGGGCTGTGGACGGGAGTCCACGGGAAGTGAAGGGCTTGCTTCCCTGGGACCTGACTGGATTATGGGGACACTGTGTGGGGACCAAGTCCCCCTCCTGACACCGTAGAACAGAGGCCTATGCGCCCGCCCTTGGGCAGCACTGATTGGATGTGCTGAGTGGGGCCCAATGAGATGGCCCGGGCCCGTGGAGGTTGTGAATTTGAAAGTCTAGAGCATCCGCTGGACAAAACGGGTTAGCACGTTAATGAACGTTTGTGAGACTCCGGCGTCAGGGTGGACAAATCCGGTCCCTGTACTTGGCGCTGTGTGGAGCAGACAGAGGGCCTCGGGGCAAAAGCCTGGGAGCACCACCCAGTGGTGGCCACTGGGAACTGCACCTGAAAATTTCCATTTGAGCTGCTAGCGGGCTGTTGACTGTGACCCTCCCAGGACCAAAGGACACAAAGTACCCACGACTCCCCTGTGATGCCAGAGAAGATGGGAAGTTTACGTGTTTATACACCAGCAGGGGAACGCAAACAGGCACCTCTGTCCCCCAGCACTGACTTTGGAACCCCTGAGGAGCCACAGGATTCTGCTGCCAGGTGGACGGCATCCTGCAAGCAGCTCCTCATTGACCAGGTGCTGCCTGGTTTGTGGACAGCAGCCCAGGTGCTGATCTCCCAGCACCTGAATGAGCTTCTGATCCTGTGGCAGTGCTGGGAGCTAGAGGGCACCTTGGCTGGACCGGGCCTGGAATGCTCCACTGGGCGCTGGACGCCCACTTCACCCCCACCTGGCTTTGCCCCTGCCTCTCCCTCGGGGAGGCAGCAATGGATGTGACTGCCAACCAGCCACAGCCTGGTGCCCATTTGGGCTTCCAGCTGCAGCCAGGCCCAGGCCCCATGGGCACCGGCCGCGCCCCAGCCACCCCTGCTGTAGTTCAGGGGCGCCCCACCTGCACTGAGGCAGGAGAAGGGCCTGGTCCGCCACCTGAGGGATTGGAGCCCGAATGCACTGTGGGGCCCAGTACAAAATGTGAAGCAGCCCTTACACCAGGCAGGAAAATAGACACTAAATCAGAAAGCTTTTTCCTAGAAACACCTCATTGCTGATCAACCAGAACAGGGTCATAATGGTGCATGAGTAACAGTGTAACTCACGTAGCTGGTGTGACATACATGGAATGCAACAATGTAACACTTTGTTAATGAGCGACCTTGATTGACCCTGCGATGTTCCTGGCTCCCTTTGCTGCAGATTAATGAGGTCATCAAAATCAGCTACCTCATTTTCACTAATCTAATCAAAAGCAACACCAGCCACTCTTGGCAAATGCAAGATTGCAAATCATTTCAACAATTATTAATTTTGAGAAGGCTGTTTGTGTGTTGGGACCATGTCGGATCCCTCCAGAGTGTTGGAGGCTATGAAATTATTTTGAAAAGTAACTTTTAGTACATTTAGAGCTGATGATTCTCATAGAGCAATAAAACATTTAAATCTTTGTACAAATCAGTTTTCTGTAAGTTTAAATTTAATTTCAAGTGCAAATCTCTACAGTGTCATTTTAATGTTCCCTCTGACATTTCTTGTAACTTGTGGGGATCATATAAGAATCTGATTCATGATTTACATGTACTTGAAAACCCTTGTTTGCACATTTTATCATTGTATCTTCAGTTACTTGGAAAAAACAATTTTTGCTTTTATTACTTTGTTAATCCTTACCCCAGGATATTTTATTCCATTGATTTTTTTTTTTTTAGGGAGCGTGGAAGGGAGGGGGAGAGACACAGAGAGAGAAACATCAATGTGAGAGAGACAACTTATCAATTGGATGCCTCCCACGCACCGTAACTGGGGCCAGGGCTCAAACCTGCAACCCAGGTACGTGCCCTTGACCAGGGCCCTTCAGGCCGAAGGCCAACACTCCAACCGCTGAGCAACACCAGCTCGGGCTGGAGGAAACAATTTTTAACTTGTCTTCCATGTGAGTAACTGGTTCATCAGAGCTTTATGTTCTTTAGAGCATTATGTTCTTTCCTGTAGAATGCAGAGTCTCTTAAGTTTAATTTTGTTTCCAATCTTAATGGATGTTGCTCTACAATGTCGAAGTCTTCAAAAATAGACTCTACCTCCTCGAATCAGTCTAACAATTGGCTGGTGGATGGGCTGAGTTGCAATGTCCCAGTGTCTGTCTTTCTTGTGCTAATTTGCTGATAGAGCTCACCGCCTGAGCCTCGGCAGCTTCTGTCCTGGAAACAGCGCAGAGACCAGGGGGACTTCGAATGGGGACAGACATGCCAGCCGCCTCCCACCTCGGCCCTGGTGCTGCCCATGAGGAGCCCCCTTTCTTCCAGGGGCCACAGCTTCTGCTCTGGGTGCTGCTGGTGCAGTGACCCCC